GTCCCACAATCACTGTGCTCTCCCTTCCTCAAGCGCACAGATTCTTCCTTCACACCATGAGGCCACTGCCAGGGGATGAGGGAAAGGTGGTGTGGGTGAATCAAGACTCTTTCCTACCTTTGGTACCTCTTTCCTCAATGAGATATTAAACCAGGTACTGTAATCACTCACCTAATTTTTGGCTTTTATGAAGGTGCTTCTTTCCTTCTGATATAAGGTCTCACTCTGTTACTCAGGTTGGAGTGCAGTGGCATGACCATAATTCACTGTAGCCTCTACTTCCTGAGCTCAGGTGGTCCTCACACCTCAGCCTCCTGAGTAGCTAGCTGAGACTACAGGCACATGCCTGGCTACTTTTTGTACTGTTTTGCAGAGACAGGTTTTCGCTATCCTGCACAGGCTGGGAAGGTGCTTTTGTGTGTAGCTAGTTGTTGGCTTTAGTGTTCCCTTAGGGGCATGCCTGCTGGAGAATTCCATTCAGCTATCTTGCTGCACCCACCTCCTAAAATTTATATTCAAATAGAGACAGGGTCTCACTATAATACCCCTGGCTGGCCTGAAATTCCTGGCCTCAAGCAATCCTCCTGCCTCAGCCTCCCAAAGTGCTGGGATTCCAGGCCTGAGCCCCATACCTGGCCTATGTTTTTAGGCATAATGCTACTGCATACTTAATAAACAATACAGTATAAACATAACTGCTTAAAATGGTAGGAAACTAAACATGTCATGCTCTACTGCAGTATACATTTACATCCAACCCTCCAGCATCTCTGAGGTACACCTACCTGCCTGGAAAGGGCCTGAAATCTCTACATATACATAAAGAACCACAAACTTCACAACAAACACAACCAAATTAAAAGACGGGCAAAGGAGGTCGTGTGCAGTGGCTCACGCCTGTAATCCCAGCACTTTGGGATGCTGACGCGGGCGGATCACAAGGAAGTCAGGAGTTTGAGATCAGCTTGGCTAAAACAGTGAAACCCTGTTTCTACTAAAAATACAAAAAATTATCCGGGTGTGGTGGTAGGGGCCTGTAATCCCAGCTACTTGGGAGTCTGAGGCAGGACAATTGCTTGAACCCAGGAGGCAGAGGTTGCAGTGAGCCAAGATCGCACAATGGCACTTCAGCCCGGGCAACAGTGTGACTCCGTCTCAAAAAAAAAAAAAAAAAAAAAAAAAGGGCAAAGAATTTAAAAAGACATTTCTTCAAAGAAGACACGCAAATCACCATAAAGTACAAGAGAAGATGTCTGGCAGGTGTGGTGGCTCACACTGTTATCTCAGCACTTTGAGAGGCTAAGGTGGGCAGACTGCTGGAGCCCAGGAGCTCAAGACCAACATGGGCAACATGACAAGACATGATGGCTTTAAAAAAAAAAAAAAAAAAAAAAAAAAAAAAGACTAATTGGCATGACCACCTATGCAGTAGTTCTCATACTAGGTCTTCACTTGTGCAGTGGTTCTCATATTAGGTGTTCAGCATCCAGGCTGTCACTGACACTGTTTTAAGAAAAATCATTTCCAGAATCTCTACCTGGTCATGAAGTCTTTCTTAAAGGCAATCTACCACCTTCTCTCTCTCAACAGCCTCTCTCCTCTGCTCAATTGGCACGGGCTTTGGGGATAAAAACTTTGGGATGGAGCACAAATGCAGTAATAGAAAATACTGGTGCTGGCTGGGTATGCTGCTCACACCTGTGATCCCAGCACTCTGAGAGGCCGAGATGGGAGGACTGTGTGAAACCAAGAGTTTGAGACCAGCCTGGGCAACACAGTGAGACTCTCCATCTATTAAATAATGTAAAACTTAGCTGAGAGTGTTGGCACATGCCTGGTGTCCTAGCTACTTAGGAGGCTGATGTGGAAAGACTGCTTATGCACAGGAGGTCAAGGCTGCATTAAGTGGTGATCACATCACTGCACTCTAGCCTTGGTGAAAGTTGAGACCTTGTCACCTTGTCTCTTAAAAAAAAAAAAAAAAAGGCTAGGCGCAGTGGCTGAGGCCTATAATCCCAGCACTTAGGGAGGCCAAGGCAGATCACGAGGTCAGGAGTTTGAGACCAGCCTGGCCAACATGGTGAAACCCTGTCTCTACTAAAAATACCAAAAGAAAAAGAAAAAATTAGCCAGGGATGACAGTGTGTGCCCGTAATCCCAGCCACTCGGAAGGCTGAGGCAGGAGAATCGCTTGAACCTGGGAGGCAGAGATTGTAATGATCTGCGATTGCGCCACTGTACTCTAGCCTGGGCAACAGAGCAAGACTCTACCTCAAAAAAAAAAAAAAAAAAAAGATAAAGGAAAGGAAAGGAAAAGAAAAAACTGGTGCTAGGAACCCAAATTATTATTTCCTGAAAAAAATCCTTTTTCAAAACAAGTAGTTTCTTAGTCAAAGGTTTCAATCAAATCAAAGGAGAACCAATAGGATTTCCCAATAACAGATCATTTAAAATGTTTTTGTTAAAGGATCGCTGACTTTTTTTTTTGAGACAGAGTCTTGCTCTGTCACCCAGACTGGAGTGCCGGGTGAGACCTCGGCTTACTGCAACCTCTGCCTCCCGGGTTCAAGAGATTCTCCTGCCTCAGCCTTCTGAGTAGCTGGGACTATAGGAACCTGCCACCATGCCCAGCTAATTTTTGTATTTTTAGTAGACACAGGGTTTCACCATGTTGGCCAGACTGGTCTGGAACTTCTGATCTCAAGTGATCCACCCACCTCAGCCTCCCAAAGTGCTGGGATTACAGGTGTGTGCCACCACGCCCGGCCGAGATCACTGACTTTCACATGAATCTGGAAGGAGCTTCAGTGCTGACCCTAGGCCTGTGCAACCATCAATGAACACAGAACTAGTCAGGTGGTTTTCTTTAAAGCTAAAAATATTAAGAAAGGCATCTTAGTAACATTTTAATTTTTGATGTTATAAGAATTTGTTATAATTTTGGCTTTTATCAATTTTGTTATTTATAGACAAATTAGTCTTTAATATTTATATCTATATATTGTTGTTGCAGAGAAAAGATATGACTAATAAATGACATTTAAGACTGAAGTTGGCTGGGCGCGGTGGATCACGAGGTCAAGAGATCGAGACCATCCTGGTCAACATGGTGAAACCCCGTCTCTACTAAAAATACAAAAAATTAGCTGGGCATGGTGGCGTGTGCCTGTAATCCCAGCTACTCAGGAGGCTGAGGTGGGAGAACTGCCTGAACCCAGGAGGCAGAGGCTGTGGTGAGCCAAGATCGCGCCATTGCACTCCAGCCTGGGTAACAAGAGTGAAACTCCATCTCAAAAAAAAAAGACTGAAAAAGACTGAAGTACACGACTCGTACAAAATCTGTGCGGGAATGTGAGATGGAAAGACCGGGCCAAAGCTGAGGGGTCTGGGCCACTCCTGCCTGGCCCATGCATGGGTGAGTGGACATCTAACAATAGCTGTTTTTGGAGTCCAGTAGTACAGTTAAAATAAATAATCCCGTAAGAGTTTTACTTTAAAACATCAGTATTCTCAACAGTGGAAAACTAAAACACTTGCTTAAATTTATAATGAAAAATTTTACATAAATATGTAAAAAGGTTACAGTTTTTCAAACTGTTTCTAAGAGAGGTGGACCCAGAAGGCCTCTGACCCGCACGGGTAGCTCTTGGCAGACCTGGAATGTTTCAGAATGTACATTGTTGGGCCCCACACCAGACATGCCTATTGGGAACTCTGGGGAACGCAGCCCTCTGGGGAATTCTGACACATATCAAGTCTGGGAATCACTGAGGTCCATGCTGTCTTAAAAGTGGGAAGAATGACTTAGACCAAGATGCCACCTGCCTGCCCTCCCCACTTCCATTTCCTCCCAGCTACTTGCAGTGACACCAGGAGCAGCCACAGCCACAGTTTCCCAGATAGAAGATGAGGGGGAAGCCTGGGCAACTCTCCATCACCAAGGAGGCACAGTGGTTGGAGAAGGCGGCATTCAAAGGAAACTAATGACTGCAAACTCTGCAGTCTACCTATAGGCAGGACACGTTACTGCTGCTTAAAAACAGAAACTCTCAGGTAGCTAGTCTTCCCCAGAAAAGGTTCCAGGCCTTGTTCTTCCATAAATCTGGGGAGAGGGAGGGTGGTGTTGAGTCCCAGGAGGAGCTACCTGCAGGTTTCAAGGTCTCTGTTTTTAACATTTGGTAAAGATTTGAAGGTCATGGTAAAGCTTTCTGATCCCTACCCTCTTTCAAAGAAAGTGTCTCATGAGCAGAGAGACAGTTTTGGTAGGCAGCTTTGAATCTGCCTGTTTGAGATCCTGCAAACGTCAGGATCAGCCCATGCAGCCACCAACACCCACGTGTACCCAACCCAACCCAGCAGGGCACAGCGTGGTACAGCACGAGCCCACACCTGGGCCAGGCCCCACTGCCACACCCCTCTGCTAGGCCCCAACGCTTGAGTTGACTTGACAGCCAGCTGGGACTCCTACCCTTTCCACACTCCACAGGGCAGGGTGAAGGCAGATAACCTGCTGTCGGTGCAGAGGTTCTGCTGTCTCCATCTGTCAATGTCATAATCTGTGCAGTTTCCGTGCACGGACCTCCGATGGGCTTTCAGAGCAAAAGGCACAGAAAAGCAGCCTCTCTCCCACCCTCAGCAACACAGCACCGCCACAGGTCACGCAAGGTCAAGCGAAAAGGCAGGTGATGGCTCCACACAGGAGCTTCGAGAGCCACAGCCTACGGCCCACTGCAGTCTGCTTCCTGGCCACACCCAGAAAATCTACAAAAGGCGAGAGTATTTTTCTCTCTCAAGGTATTAGAAACTCTCCTCTTTTCAGACAGGTCCTCCAATGGGGATCCCATGACAGCCGACTTCACAAGCACTTCCTACAGCATTATTAGACTTAGAAATGCAAACATTTCCTCAGACAAATGTTAAAACTATGAGAACCAAAACCCTGTGTGAAGGGCCTCTGCTCCCAATACCCACACCCACAGCGAGTCATCGGCACCTCTTACCATTGTTCACCTGGCCGTGGACCGTGGTGGGGACTGATGCCACGTGGGTGCCGTTTTGCGTTACAGTTTTGATTGGCAGCTGGTGTTGACCTAGAGGTGCCTGTTGTACTATGGTCACCGTCTGGACCGGGGTGGTCTGTGCCGTCTGGATGATCCGGCTAGCAGTGCCTAGCGTGGCATGGCCAATGGCAGGAATAGGCTCCACTTTCACTGAAAGGAAAAGGAAAAAAAAAGACAGTAATGTTACTGGAAAGCAAACAAAAAGATCTTACCAGTTTAAAATACAATAATCAGATGGTTACCGGACCTGCTAGGAGATGCCTCTAAAACAGAGAGCAAATGAGAAAGGGTGAAGAAATCTTACGGGCGTCCAAGAGTGTGAGGCTGAAGGGAGCAGCCTCTCTGCACCCACTGCCCACCTTTGACTTCCCTGTGATCTCCGTTCTCCTGGGGCTCTGCCTTGGGAGGGGCCAGCACAGCTGCAGGGGCGACCACGGCTTGTCCAGAGACAGTGTACGTGCTCGCTGGGGCCAGCCCAGCCACACTGGCGAGCGACACTGCTGGTATCTGGTGGACGACGTGAACCGTCTGCACGACGGGTGGCTGGGAGGTCGAGGTGGTCACTGGGGTGGCTACAGTGTAGGTGACAGGCTTCATGGCCTGTGGTAGCTGCCGCTGGACGGTGATTAAGACTGGCTGACTGGACAGAGGTGACCCTGGTGAAAGACACGAGCAGGACTGACACTCACAGATACTGACTGCTGCAAACAAAGATTCCCACACTAAGCACTGACAACACACAAACTTGAATTTAAAATACAGGACGTGGCCCTATTTTACCTCATAATAGCAAAGTTACTAACAATGAGGGAGGTGTAGTATTTTAATAGGGGTATTTAATTCCTATCTGTAACTCCTAAAAATGCAATTTTGGCTCTATTTAGATACCTCATAACACCTCTTTCCACCGTTCCTTTTTCATAAAAAAGAAAATGTCAATACACAATATAAGAGGTAACTGGGCCAGGCATCGTGGCTCCCTGCAATCCCAGCACTTTGGGAGGCTGAGGTGGGAGGAGTTTGAGAACAGCCTGGGCACAGGAAGACCCTGTCTCTACAATAAATAGTAGCTGGGCATGCTGGTGTGAGCCTGCAGCCCCAGCTATTTGGGAGGCTGAAGAGGGAAGGCTGCTTGAGCCTGGAAGGTGGAGACTGCAGACAGCCAAGAACATGCCCCTGTACTCCAGCATGGGCAGCAGAGCAAGACCTTGTCTCAGGACAAACAAAAACAACAACAGAAGAAGAAGAAACTCCCCATGTAGGCCAGAAAGACGAGGGCCGCACTCACCTAGGATCAACACCTCCCTCTTGAAACAAGTGGAAGGGAAGCAGGAAGTTCAAAAACAGCGTGGGGCTGTCATAGAGCCTCTGGCACCCAGCCCTTGCCCTTTGTGGTTTGGGGGTTAGACCAGAGAGAGACATGGCTGTCAGGTGCTACTGACAGTGGGCAGGGGAGAGTGTTCTCTGGCCCAGCATGGCCAGAAATCCCAACTGATCCAATTCACATTGCTGTCAACTGTAACAGACTTAGTTTGGACACATTTCCACACTATGTTTGTTTAATTCCCCAGGGCACACATTTTTATTCCACATTATGACTTTCTAAGTAAACTGCAAAGTGTTTACCTATTTCTTAAAATGGACATGTTAGGCTGAGTGAAGTGGCTCACGCCTGTAATCCCAGCACTTTGGGAGACTTAGGCAGGTGAATCATGAGGTCAAGAGATCAAGACCGTCCTGGCCAACATGGTGAAACCCCGTCTCTACTAAAAATACAAAAATTAGCTAGGTGTAGTGGTGGGCGCCTGTAGTCCCAGCTACTCGGGAGGCTGAGACAGGACAATCACTTGAACCCAGGAGGCAGAGGTTGCAGTGAGCCGAGATGGTGCCACTGCACTCCAGCCTGGGCAACAGAGCGACACTCCGTCTCAAAAAAAAAAAGAAAGAAAAGAAAAAGAAATGCTTTTGCTTCCAATCAACGTCTAGTTTGTCTACTTGATGGGTTTTTTTTGGGAGGGGGGGTCATTTCATGGATTTTTGAATGACAAGCTTAGAAACAGGTTAATCCTAAATTATTTCAGGAATCCATACACAGTCATTTAAAGAACACTCACTGATTTTTAAAAACACTCCCAGTTTTGCAAGGCCTATAAAATGACTCTCAGGTCCTGGTATAAGGTACAGAGGGACAGAGAGGCCTCTTGGGAAGTCCAGCTGTTCCTTCTCTGCTGAGCCCAGCGTCTGTGCCTGGCTCACGCTGTCTGGCCCGCTTTCTCTCCCGCTGTCTCACCTGGTGCACTCTGGGCAAATCGGGCTTCCTGGATGACAGCAAGTTTGGGCTGCGCGGTGCCAGGCTCAGGCTCCAGGGGGGCCGGCGAACCTTCCCTCGACAGGCTCTCAGGGGTCTGGGCGCCACTAGAGTGAGCAGACAGCACTCCAGCATGATTGGGAGAGGCTGGGGCACTCCTATGTCACCGAGAAGAAGACATTGTATGTTTATAGGTGATGTACTCAGACAGCACTTGATGTTTTAATAAGTGCACTTTGCAAAGAGGGTGTCGTTTGTCTCCTGCCAACCGACAGCCGCTGTCTAAGTTTTGCTTCTCTGTACGCCTGTGAACTGAGCAGGGCACTCGGCAAGACAAGCTGAGCCTGTGTGTGAAGGGCCATCATGTGCTCCGAGCCCACATGCACAGCAGGCTGTGGGCTGGGGCTGGCTGCCCTCTTTCTCTCTAAGCAGCTCCTGTGCACAGACGGCAGGAACCAGCAGCGGGCAAGTCGGTGGGCACTTCAGACTTACGTTATGCTCATTTTTTTTTTTAATTAAAAACAGTATTCATGAAGCTAAAAATAAGGAATTTTAAACTCTGGCAAATTAACACTGTACAAGTCAACTCAAGTTTAAGCAGCTAAAACATAAGTTTCTTTTTTTTGAGACGGAGTTTCGCTCTTTTGCCCAGGCTAGAGTGCAGCAACCTCCACCCCACCCCACCCCCAGCGTTCAGGCGATTCTCCTGCCTCAGCCTCCCGAGTAGCTGGGATCACAGGCATGCACCACCACACCCGGCTAATTTTTTTTAATTTCTAGTAGAGATGGGGTTTCACCATGTTGGCCAGGCTGATCTCAAACTCCTGACCTCAGGTGTTCTGCCCACCTCGGCCCCCCAAAGTGCTGGGATTACAGGTGTGAGCCACCGCACCCGGCCTTTAAAAAGCAGTTTTAAAGAACTTTTCCTGTGCCAAAGAAAAGGGAAAATGTCAATGTGGCACTGGTGTGAACAGTATGTGATAAGCCCCATGAAGCAACAATCTCGTGTGGGAGTGCAGTTTAAGCCAAACTTTGCAAATGGTCTAAAATGCTTCAGACCACTAGAACCAGAAATACTTGGACAGCACCCAACGCTTTTGCTCAAATCCCCATCCCAACATTCAATCATAATGCATTTGGCAGTTCCTCCATTTTCAAAAGGAAACTTTACCAAAACATTGGCGGTAAGTGCAGTGACCATTAGTGAGGCCTTTTTGTTCCTCTTTTTTCCTTACCTAGAAGAGAGCGGTCCCAGAGGGGTTCTAAAGCAAGGCACGCCCCTAGGCCGTCTTTTCCTAAAAGCCTGTTCTATTAATTTGCTTTCAGAGGCAGGATCTATCCTCCAGAATGAGCCTTTGCCTGGTTCTTCCTGGGAACGCGGTACTTTGATGAAATAACGATTCAGAGAGAGATTGTGGCGAATTGAATTCTATGAAACATAAAAAAATACGTAGAATTCATATATTTCTTTGCTGAGAAATAAAAATGTGTCCTAGTTTTAGTGCCCTGCAAAGCAGAAACCTAGATGTTGGGCTCTGGCAGACTGCACAAGTGAAGTTTTTTCTTTTGCGTCACACGGGTAATGTGCTGACATCGTAACAAGGTCTGAGGGAGGCTCGTCCTACAGAGGAACGTGAAAACCCAGTCGTCATGCTTCTGAACTACCACAGAGAGTGACGTTTATGGGCAGTGCTATGTGGAAGGAGCAGCCCTCCCAGCTTGGTGAGCAATTCTCAAGGGGAAGCAGCAGCCTGGGATTTGAGTCCTACAGCCCAAGGCCACTATGCGCTTCCAAAGAGGAAAGTACACCACACCCCTGGCAGAACGGGCCCCGGTACAGGAGCCGGAGCATGGGACGGATGAGGAATCCGCATAGCGTGGACAGAGGCCATTTCTGACTCCATCTCCTTTCAAGGTGGGAAACCCAGGACTATGACTGTCAGCACAGAGCATTCCAGGTAGAGCCAATGACTTAGCTGCCAACCTCTCCCTGCTTGGAGACAAATAGAGCTGATGTGAGCCATTCTGTTAAAATACTTTCTTGCACAGAATTAGCTTACAGAATCTGTCATGCCATTAAAAGTAAATTAATCCAGTATAAAGTATTTGGCAAACCAGCAAAAAAGAAAAATGAGCAGAAAGCTGAAAATCAGGATGGATACCATCTTCCAGGAACAGAGGACTTGGCAAAATGCCTCCATTTTTTATTTGATCCTTGAAATAATTTTGCAAGGTACACAGGAAAAATTTCCCTCCCAGCTCCTCATCAGTGCATCATGCCTTCTATCACAAAAAGCTGGACAGGTGCGGTGGCTCACCTGAGGCCAGAAGTTTGAGACCAGCCTGGCCAACGTGGTAAAACGCTGTCTCTATTAAACATACAAAAATCAGTCGGGCACAGTGGCCTGTGCCTGTAGTCCTAGCTACTCAGGAAGCTGAACTGGTACTACTCAAGAACTGCTTGAACCCAGGAGGCAGAGGTTGCAGTGAGCGTAGATTGGGCCACTGCACTCCACCCTGGGCGACAGAGAGCCAGACTCCATCTCCCAAAAAAAAAAAAAAAAGCCCAGCTAAAGGTTTCCAGACAATCTGAAGAAAGCCCCCCACCCCCCGCTGTGACCTGATTCAGGCTAACAAAAGCTAGGTTCATATAAACATTTCATGAAATAACATTAATGTGTAGATTCAAAATTAAGCTATGAAAGTGTTAAAATGGTGGTAACAAAATCTGAAGCTATCCAAAAGATCATTTCTAAATACCCTCATTAACCTTATTAGAATTGCAAGCCTCAGCCTGAAATTCCAAATTGTCAAAGGTGACTAAGAAATCCCACATGTGAAATAACACTTTCCAACCAACCTTGGGGGTGTTCAAATGCCATCCTAACGCCTTTGGCCCCATGGATGGAGGAACTTCATGGACAACATGGAGAGGTGGGCTAGGCTGTGTGTGGGATTTGTGAAACTGCTTACAGTAAGTGCATCAGATGAGATTTCAAATATTCTAAAAACCACATATACTTGCTATAAGGTTTTATCACTGGTTTTAGCTGATGCCCAACCTTTCTATCAATGCCTCCAGAAGAATCAAACATTACTGTTATTGCTGCCCTGACAAAGACAGAGAAGGCAAAGCTTTGCCGACTGCTCTCAGAATTTTAAGTGTGAAGTAGAAGGTAGATTCTAAGACAGTGTATGAAGAAAAGCAAATGCAGATGCTGGTAACAGAAAAGGCTCCAGCGGTGGAAACGGCAATCCCGGGCACTGCCTTACGGAGGTGACAGTTCCCCTCGCTGTTCTTTCTGGCCTGATCCTCCCAAGCAGGAACTCAGAAAGAACTCCTGCTACACACAGCGTCCGAGGCTGAAGAGCAGTCAACATTCAACAAGCCCCTGAGTGAAGACTGTGGCTGCCCTGACTGATGTGGAGTTATTTAACTGCACGCTGTTAGGAGAAAAGGTTAGCACAGTGGGAATCTGGAAACGGAAAAGGTGACTTTGGGGAACTGAGCTTTCGAGCCATGTGAACAATAAGGACACGATGGGCCAGAAGGCTTGATGCAGGAGCGTCACCACCACCATCACTTACGACACGCAAATAGGTTCGTGGAACTGGGGAGCTGCTATTTTCTGTCCTGAAAACATAAAATAACCCAGTCCGAGTCATCAGAATAGATTCTAACCTATTTCATTCTCTAATCCACCTCCCTAACAACAATCCCAAGAGCAAATGAGAAAAGATTACTTGTGATTTGCCAGGCAGGGAGACTCCAGAAAATATAAGGAAGTAATGAGACATTTAATGTAGACACAAATAGAATAAAGTAACTATGTTTCTAAGGTAATTTAAGGCAGTTGTAATTTGATCGACCCAGGATGGATGTTCCTTCATTCTATTGCTACATTTATTAAAACCACATTAATTGGACTCTACTAAATCAGAAATTATAAAGCTTTCAGAGAAAACGTGGGCTGTTATTCTTCAACGCTAAACATGAAGAACAGGATCTGCAATTTTGAGCCAATTTTCTTTCCCCCAAAGCCTTTCCAAATTGAGCTTCTACTGAAAATCAGCCCTTCCTGAGCAGCAGCTCCCTTCCTTCCGGGGTTCCACTCTGTGACTTCCTGGTCAGCCTTTCTAAGCAGACCCCAAGTTTCTCAAGGACAGCTTGTCTACTTAACCTTGCCCAGCCCTGAGTGCCCCTCCAGTGTGCATTCTGTACAGAAAGGATGTGTACAGAAACTGAGAAGGAACAGGCCAGGTTCCTTTCAGAGGATGGAGGATGAGTCTAATGTCCAGGAACACTGCCAAAAGAGCAGGGGTGAGGGTGAGTGCAGAGCAGGCTCTCACTTTAAAAGAAACCAAGGTATGGGTGCAGTGACTCACATCTATAATCCCAGCACTTTAGAAGTCCAAGGCAGGAGGATGGTTTGAGTCCAGGAGTTTGAGAACAACCGGGGCAACATAGTGAGATCCTATCTCCATGAATTTTTTTTTTTTTTTTTTTTTTTTTGAGACAGAGTTTCGCTCTTGTTACCCAGGCTGGAGTGCAATGGCTCGATCTCGGCTCACCGCAACCTCCACCTCCTGGGTTCAGGCAATTCTCCTGCCTCAGCCTCCTGAGTAGTTGGGATTACAGGCACACGCCACCATGCCCAGCTAATTTTTTTGTAGTTTTAGTAGAGACGGGGTTTCACCATGTTGACCAGGATGGTCTCGATCTCTTGACCTCATGATCCACCCGCCTCAGCCTCCCAAAATGCTGGGATTACAGGCTTGAGCCACGGCGCCCGGCTGCGAAAAATATTTTTTAAAAGTAGCCAGATGCGGTGGTAAACACATGTAGTCCCAGCTACTTGGGGAAATTACTTGAGCCTGGACGGTTGAGTCTGCAGTGAGTTTTGACTGTGCTACTACATTCTAGCCTTAGTGACAGAGCAATATCCAGCCTCAAATATAAATAAAAGAGGCCGGGTGCAATGGTTCATGCCTGTAATCTCAGCACTTTGGGAGGCCAAGGCAGGTGGATCACCTGAGGTCAGGAGTTCGAGACCAGCCTGGCCAACATGGTGAAATACCATCACTAGAAAAAATACAAAAATTAGCTGGGTGTGGTGGCGCACACCTGTAGTCCCAGCTACTCAGGAGGCTGAGGCTGGAGAATCACTTGAACCCGGGGGGGCAGAGGTTGCAGTGAGCCGAGATTGTGCCACTGCACTCCAGCCTGGGAGACAGAGTGAGACCTGTCCCCTCAAAATAAAATAAAATAAAATAAACCAGCTCTAGTCCCCTTGGAGTGTGAAAGCCCAGTCTTCTCAAACTTTTCATAGTCACAACAATTATCTCAGTTCTGGGCTCAATAAAATTATAAAACCATAAAAAATCATTTTGGAGCCAGTGAGGCATGGAGCTGTGGCAATGGCGGTGCACATAGAGAGCCCAGTGCGGCACAGAGGCTGGGCTGGTGCATGGCCACAGCCAAGTACCCAGGGCTAGGCATGGCATGCAGGCTGAGCAGTGAGCAGGCTGCAGCCTTGGCTGCAAGGCCTGAACTACACCGGCTGCCACACCTTGCATGCAGGTTGGGCCTCAGCGGGGGCAGGGGGAGCGGCAAGGACCCCACTCAGAGTGGCGACAACAAACACATTAGAGGAGAGCTGTGGTCTTGGCCATTCTGGTTTTAAATGGCAAGCTATAAGCTCTGTGTTTTTCTGCACTGATGTGTCGCTTATTAAATACTTCCATACCATAAAAAAATCATTCTGGGAGGTAAATGCAAACAAAGGAAAGACACAGGCCATCTTCTCAAATAGGATTCCTCAGACCATCTCATTAGACCCTCGGATGTCCTCTGGATTAACAAAAAGCCAGGCCATAGGGAGACAAGGTAAAACACTGGCTTTTGTTTTCAGCCAGGAAGCCAGAATAAGATCTGTTGCACTGGGAAGGGAGACTCAGAGAATCTCATGACAGAGAAAGGGCCCGTGAGGGTCAGTATTCCAACAGCCAGGGGTACAGCTGAGGACAGAAAGAATTTAAGAGGACATGTCCGGCTAGGCACGGCGGCTCACGCCTGTAATCCTAGCACTTTGGGAGGCTGAGGCTAGCGGGGATCATGAGGTCAGGAAATCAAGACCATCCTGGCTAATACGGTGAAACCCCATCTCTACCAAAAATACAAAAAATTATCCAGACATGGTGGCATGTGCCTGTAGTCCCAGCTACTTGGGAGACTGAGGCAGGAGAATCTCTTGAAACCAGAGGCTGAGGTTGCAGTGAGCCAAGATCGCACCAGTGCACTCCAGCCTGGGTGACAGAGCAAGACTCCATCACAAAAAGAAGAGTACATGTCCATGAACTGGGGCTATCTGAAGGAAATAATCCCTCTCTGCTAAATTAGCTGGAGCTCCCAGGCATGAAATGACACAAGAGCAGCCTTACTGGGGCAAGAGATGCAGCTGTAGACTTACAGACCTTGATCCAGACAGGAAAGAAAATCTTTCAATAAAAACAAGTTTAATAACAGTTCAACAGAGAGGGGTGCTTGACATGTGTTAGTTCGCAATTCTCTGCCTAAGTGGGCTGTGCAGGCACCCGCAGTAGCTGGCAGAAAGCAGTGCCTGCACCAGAGAGGTGTCCCGGGGGGTCCTCACCACTCCACAACTGTGGACCAGGGGAGCCTTGCCCAAAGGGCTCTGCTCCCCAAAAAAGCCTATTCTGACTTCCTGAGTTGAGCCCCTACCATAACTGAGGCCAGGCCTTTATCCGTCCACCCTCTTTGGCAAGAAAACCTTGTCCTACTCATAGATAGTTCTAAAATAAACAGATGTTAGAAAAAACACACAGAAATACCACCTAAGAGAAACAGATTAAAGTCTAATAAAGCTTCTCAGAAACACTCACATCACAAAGCACCAGGTTAACTGGTATTTCGAACCATCAGAATAAGCTGCACTTAAACTCTTACGGACCCTCACACGCCTCCAGGCAGCAAGCCAGACTCCATGTGGAGTTTCTCTCCTTGACAAAGCAATAAAGCCATGGTCACTGGAACATCAATGTCTGGTTTTGTGTGTGTGTGTGTGTACATATACAATTTGAAGCACAGCCTCTTTTTTTTTTTTTTTTTTTTTTTTGAGAGGGAGTCTCACTCTGTCGTCCAGGATGGAGTTGGTTCACGGCAACCTCTGCCTCCTGGGTTCAAGCGATTCTCCTGTCTCAGTCTCCTGAGTAGCTGGGATTACAGGTACCCTCCAACACACCTGGCTAATTTTTGTATTTTTAGTAGAGACAGGGTTTCACCATGTTGGCCAGGCTGGTCTCGAACTCCTGACCTCGTGACCCACCTGCCTTGGCTTCCTAAAGTGCCAGGGTTACAAGCATGAGCCACTGCAACCGGCCAGCCTCACTTTTTTAGGTTAAAATATAGTAAATATGGCCAGAATTTAGCATGCAATGTGTTAAGAGACCCTGATATGTAGCTAGATACGGAACTAATCCCCAAATCCAGCATTTCCCTAATGGTCATTTAAGAAATGCCTCCTTCCTGTGACCAGGGAAGCGGGGAGGGCAGGGTATAGACACTCCAGTTAAGGGGGTCATGAGGTGGGCCATGAGGGGAGGCTGAGTCTCATTCTGTACCTTCCATGATTAAAGACCGTCAAGCCCCTCCACAAAGAAAATATGGAGTGTGTGGTTGGTAGGCTTTTTCTTTTTGAGACAGGGTCTCACTCTGTTGCTCAGCCTGGAGTGCAGTAGTATCATCACAACTCACTGTAACCTCTGCCTCCTGGGCTCCAGTGAACCTCCCACCTCAGCCTTCAGAGTAGCTGGGACTACAGTCGTAAGCCACCACACTTGGCTAATTTTTTTATTTTTTTGCAGAGACAGAATTTCGCCATGTTGCCCAGGATGCTCTCGAAATCCTGGACTCACGCAATCATCTGCCTCAGCTCCTAGCCAGTAGGCTATTTTTGACATAACATGTTTATACATCTGCAGTTAAAAGAAAAAAGGTTTTTCCCTCCAATAAAGAGAAAACAGTTTCCCCCGCACCACTCTCATCACTAAGCCACGTAGTTCGGGTATGTTTTTAAGAATCATTTATTCATTATAAGAAACCCTCAAAGAAATTCTATAGATGTTACTGGTTACTTAATGAATTCAAAAACTATAAGCATACATACATTTCTTCTCTATGTTTTTCATATTCTGTATTTCAAACTTACCCATTGTCAAATTTTCTCAAATAGCAAGATTCTCCTTTACATCTAGTAAATAGCCAACAAAACACAGATATACAGAAAGAGAAAAAATCTATGCAGTCTCCAGGGTTACAATTATTGGTGCGTGAGCTGACCAAAGGGAATATTTTGCAGATTTCAAAGTGTCTTCTGGGGGTAGCCCCGGGCTTCCATGAGCAGGTGAGCTGCCCAGCTCAAACAGGGCACACCACATTCATCTGTTTTAGACCCTAGCCACCTGGTTAAGATGTCCTCTGAGAAAGCTGTTTCTTGGTAAAACAGTTTGAAAACTCTCTGCAAACTTCAAAACTTCTGTCCATTAGCAGGAGTGGACGAGGAAGACAGGAGAATGCTAAAGGAAAGGAGAGGCTGGGTTTTCAACTTTTCCTGCATTTCAATATGAACTGCATTGGTCAAAGGGAAATAGCTCAAACAATCCACACTTCACAAACCCCATGCAGACAAGTCTATTTCCATAAAACATACAACATGTAGGTCCAGACGTTCTCCCAGAACCACGCTTCCTTCTGCTCTACATGAAGAGAGTGAGGCGAGCATGGCAGCACTGGCCCCCAACTCCTCCTCCTCTCAGCAAGGGAGGCTCCCCCCTCACCTCCTACCTTCCTAACCTGTGCCTATGTTAAATATAGCAGCCGCTCCATTTTCTTCTTGGTATCAATCAGTCTCTATTTAATAACAAACTGAAAGGCACTTACCTGCCAGCCCTTGTCCGCTGTCCTATAGTAGGGATAATTTTTAGTGATGTGTGTATAAATTCCATTCAGGGTGAGCTGTTTGTCAGGAGCCATTGTAATTGCTTGTACTATTAGCTGTGCATACGAGTAGGGTGGCTTTGAATCATCCTGTATTTAAAAACAAAAACAAAAAGAGAGTGCTGAGGTCACCATATTTTTTACTCAATTTACTAGATTTACAGATTCTCGATGCTTTGATACCTCATTTTTTATTTTTATTTTTGAGACTAAGTCTCACTCTGCCACCCAGGCTGGAGTGCAGTGGCGTGATCTTGCCTCACTGCAACCTCTACCTCCCGGGTTCAAGCAATTCTCCTGCTTCAGCCTCCTGAGTAGTTGGGATTACAGGCACCCGCCACCATGCTCAGCTAATTTTATTTTATTTTATTTTTTGAGACAGAGTCTTGCTCTGTTGCCAGGCTGGAGTGGTGGTGCAATCTCGGCTCACTGAAACCTCCACGTCCTTCATTCAAGCGATTCTATCGCCTCAGCCTCTGAGTAGCTGGGACCACAGGCACGTGCCACCACGCATGGCTAATTTTTGTATTTTTAATAGAGATGAGGTTTCACCATGTTGGCCAGGATGGTCTTGCTCATGATCCACCCACCTCAGCCTCCCAAAGTGCTGGGATTACAGGCGTGAGTCACCATGCCTGGCCTAATTTTTCTATTTTAAGTAGAGACAGGGTTTCACCATGTTGGCCCCGCTGGTCTCAAACTCCTGACCTCAGGTGATCTACTCGCCTCGGCTTCCCAGACTGCTGGGATTACAGGTGTGAGCCACCTCGTCCGGCCTGTTACCTCTTTTTTCTTACTATAAAAGTAATATAATTTGAAAACATGGAAGAAACAAATAAAAAACTATAAAGAAAAATATTAAAAGCACATAAGGAAAAAAAATCCAAATGTCAAAAATGAAGAAATAAAGGCTGCTTGACCTCAGCGGAGTCCAAGGAAAGCACCTCAGTCAGGACCAGATCCTGCTGGCTACCCCAGGGGCACAGAACAGGGGCGGGTAAGGCTGGCTGAGGGCAGAGCCAGAGGAACCCCTCCCCAGGCATGAGCACCAGGGGTGGCCAGGGCTGCTCAGAGCCCCAGAGTCACCAAATACTCCTCCACAAGGAGCCCCTGCCCATGAGGAGCCCCCTGATCCATGAAGAGCCCCATGGAGGCTCCACCTTGGGGTCAGAGACATCCTGGCTACTGTGTGCCCCGCTGCCAGGATGACATCCCCAGTACTGGCTCTTTCAAGGCCACTGGTGGCTCCTTGTCATGGTGACAAGTTGAAACTCACGCACGTCAGCACAAGCCCACTGGGGAAAGGGAACTGCCCCTGGTTGTGAACTTCTGGGCAATACACATATCAACATGTATGAAGAGCAACAGATAATGCTGGATGAAAAAAGTCATTTGCAAAAGAATACATCCAAGATGATACTATTTATATGAAGTTTTACAATGAACAATTATAGATATTATTCAAGGATAAACACAAATGGAAGAAAAAACAGGCAGGCTGACAGGCAGGAGGCAAGGACAACAGGTCCAGGAGGGCACCATGGGCTCCTCAGCACAGGCCGTGCTCAGCACCAGCAGCTCAGGGTGGGCACAGGGAGGTTTCTCTTTTTTTTTTTTTTCTTGGGGTGATAGGGTCTCGCTCTGTCATCCAGGCTGGTGTACAGTGGTGTGATCTTGGCTCACTGAAGTCGAGGGCTCAGGTGATCCTCCCCGGCAGCTGGGACTCCAAGTGCATGCCACCATGCCTAGCTCACTTTTGGTAGTTTTTGTAGAGACAAGGTCTTGCTTTGTTTCCCAAACTCCTAAGCTCAAGTGATCTGCCCACCTTGGCCTCCCAAAGTCAACTTTGGCATTTTTTTTTTCTAAAGAGAAAAATGTAATCACAAGAAGACCCTCCACATCCCCAATTTTTTTATTTCCCCCAGACAGGGTCTTGCTATGTTTGTGGCCCAGGCTAGAGTACAGTGGCCATTCAAGGCTGTCACTAGACAGGCAGGTAACACTGAGGGCCCTGTGGCTGTGCGCTGTCCCCGGGGCTGCTTCAAGGCTACAAAGCCTTTACCTTCGGGCTGTCTCCACCTGAAGCTTCCTTTTCATTTTCAGGCTGTGAGTTGTCAGCCATTAAACTGAGGTCAGATGGCATCCCTCGGCCCACCTTGTACCCTGAAGACCCCGCTCCCCGGGGGCTGGAGGGGCAGGAGTTCGCAGCACTGTGGAAGAGAAAAGGTTGTTCCCATGAGTCTATCACAGAGCACAATCCTACTGTGCATCAACAACTGGCTCTAATTACAGGAAAAACAAATATGAAAACATTAAAAAACAAACAAAGCAAAAAAAGGAAACACCAGCATTTCCTAAGGAAACACAGAATTTTTTTTTTTTTTTTTTTTTTTGAGATGGCGTCTCGCTCTGTAGCCCAGGCTGGAGTACACCGGTGCAATCTAGGCTCACTGCAACCTCCACCTCCCAGGTCTCAGTTCAAGCAATTCTCCTATCTCAGCCTCCCAAGTAGCTGGAATTACAGGCACGAGCCACCATGCCAAGCTAATTTTTGTATTTTTTTAGTAGACATGGGGTTTCACCATGTTGGCCAATCTGGTCTTGAACTCCTGACCTCATGATCTGCCCACCTTGGCCTCCCTATCAATTATAAAACATTCGATTATAAAGACACATGCACATGTATGTTTACTGCAGCACTGTTTACAACAGCAAACACTTGGAACCAACCCAAATACCCATCAATGATAGACTGGATAAAGAAAATGTGGCACATATATACCATGGAATACTATGCAGCCATAAAAAAGGATGAGTTCATGTCCTTTGCAGGGACATGGATGAAGCTGGAAACCTTCATTCTCAGAAAACTGACACAAGAACAGAAAACCAAACACGGCATGTTCTCACACAGAGGCGGGTGTTGAACAATGAGAACACATGGACACAGGGAGGGGAATATTACACACTGGGGCTTGTTGAAGGGTGAGGGTCTGGGGGCAAATAGCAGGAGGGTGGGGAGATTGGGGAAGGCTAACATTAGGAGGAACACCTAATGTAGATTATGGGGAGGATAGATGCAGCAAACCACCATGGCACACATATATCTATTCAACAAACCTACACGTTCTGCACAGGTACCCCAGAACTTAAAAGTATAATAAAAGAAAGAAAAAGAAAAAAAATACCACTGTAACCATTTTAAAGTGCACGCTTCAGCAGCACAAAGCGCATTCACATAGATGTGTAGCCATCACACCACCTGTCTCCAGAACGTTCTCACCTTCCCAAACTGAAGATCAATCCTCAAGAAACACCAGCTCCCTCTCTCCACCCCCAGCCCCTGGCCACCTCCATTCTACCTTCTGTCTCTGCAAATCTGATACTCTAGGAATCTCAGTGACTGGCTTATTTCACCAACATACTGTCCTGGGTTAGTTACTTCACGTCTCAGCATACGTCAGGATTTCCTTCGTCAGGGTGAATAATATCCCACTGTATCTTCTATCTTCTGGAGATTGTGCACAACGCTGCTATGAGAACGAGTGTACAAATATTCCTTTAAGACCCTGCCTTCAGTTTGGGGTTTATCCAGAAGTGGGGTTGAAGGATCATACGGTCATTCTATTTTTAACTTCTGCAGGAACTGCTGGACTGTTTTCCACAGCAGCCGCACTGTTTTGCGTTCTTCGCAATAGTGCACAACAGTTCCAGTTTCTCTACATCCTCACTCACACTGTCTTCTGGGTTTGCTGTTTTTAATAGCAGCCAATCCAATAGGTGTGAGGTGGGAAGTTACTGTGTTCTGACTGGCATTCACCTAATAACTACTGATAGTGAATATCTTCTCAAGTCCTTATTGGCCATTTCTATATCTTCTTTGGAAGAAGGTGTTTCCCATTGTTTTGAACTGGGTGTTTTGTTTCTTTAATGTTGAGATTCAGGAGGTCTCTCTATAATCTGGATATTAATCCCTTGCCAGATATATGATTTGCAAATATTTTCTCCCTTTTTACTGTTTATGTTGTCTTTTGGTGCACAAATTTTTTAGATTTTCAAGAAGTTCAATCTGTCTTTTTCTTTTGCTTCCTATGCCTTTGGTATCAAATCCAAGAAATCAATGCTAAATCCAATGTCATGGGGGTTCTGCCTATGTTTTCTTCTAAGAATTTTAGTTTCAGGCCTTAAATTTAGGGCTTTGATCCATTTTGAGTTAATTTTTGCATACGGTATAAGGGCCCAACTTCATTATTTTCCATGTGGACACAGTTTACCTAGTACTTCCTGGAAAGTCTGAAAGAATGATGTTGGCACCCTTGTCAAAAATTGGCTGGCTCACACCTGTACTCTCAACACTTTGGGAGGCCGAGGCAGGTGAATTACCTGAGGTCAGGAGTTCAAGACCAGCCTGACCAACAAGGAGAAACCCCGTCTCTACTACAAATACAAAATTAGCTGGGCATGGTGGCACATGCCTGTAATCCCAGCTACTCAGGAGGCTAAGGCAGGAGAACCGCATGAACCTGGGAGGCAAAGGCTGCGGTGAGCCAAGATGATGCCATTGCACTCCAGCCTGGGTGATAAGAACAAAACTCCACGTCTAAAACAAAACAAAAAAAAAACGTAATTTGACTATATTATGTGAGGGTTTATTTCTGGGCTCTCTATTCTTCCCCCTCCCTTTTTTTTTTTTTGAGATGGAGTTTTACTCTTGTCACACAGGCTAGAGCAATGGTGTGATCTCGGCTCACTGCAATCTCAGCTTCCCAGGTTCAAGCGATTCTCCTGCCTCAGCCTCCCAAGTAACTGGGATTACAGGCATGAGCCACCACTCCCAGCTAAATTTTTGTATTTTTAGTAGAGATATGGTTTTGCCAGGCTGGGGAGCCTGGTCTTGAACTCCTGACCTCCGGTGATCTGCCCGCCTCGGCCTCCCAAAGTGCTGAGATTACAGGTGTGAGCCACTGAGCCTGGCCTATTCTTCTTTATCTTTAAAAACAAACAAAGACAAGATATTTAATTGGCTCATGGTTCTTCAGGCTGTGGGCTCTCTAAAAAAATTCAAAATTAAAATTAAAATCTATCTCAGACTTCAGAGACCACTGTCTGACCCTTCCACTTCCACTAGAATACAAACAAGGCCAGGCACGGTGGCTCACGCCTGCAATCCCTGCACTTTGGGAGGCCAAGGCAGGCAGATCACAAGGTCAGAAGTAGAAGATCAGCCTGGACAACATAGTGAAACCCCATCTCTACTAAAAATACAAAAATTAGCCTATGGTGGCACATACCTATAATCCCAGCTAGTCAGGAGGCTGAGGCAGGAGAATTGCTTGAACCCGGGAGGCAGAGGTTGTAGTGAGCCAAGATCATGCCACTGGACTCCAGCCTGGGTAACAGAGAGAGACTCTGTCTCACAAAAAAAAGAATCCAGGCCAGGCACAGTGGAACACATCTGTTGTCCTAGCTACTCAGGGGGTCAAGGTGGCAGGATCACTTAAGTCCAGGAGTTTGAGTCCATCCTGGGCAACACAGCCATAACCCATCTTTAAAAAAAAACTTTAAAAACATCTTTTTGAACTAAAACAGATTTACAAGAAAAAAACAAACCCATTCAAAAGTAGGTGAAGGATATGAACAGACACTTTTCAAAAGAAGACATACATGAGGCCAACAAACATATGAAAAAATGCTCATCATCACTGGTCATTAGAGAAATGCAAATCAAAACCACATTGAGAGACCATCTCATGCTAGTTAGAATGGCGATCATTATCCTCGTTAGTACAGTGGTGAAAAGAAAAAGAAAAAAAAAGAATAGCGATCATTATAAAATCAGGAAACAACAGACGCTGGAGAGGATGTGGAGAAACAGGAACACTTTAACACTGTTGGTGGGAATGTAAATTAATTCTACCATTGTGGAAGACAGTGTGGCAATTCCCCAAGGACCTAGAAATAGAAATTCCATTTGACCCAGCAACTCCCATTACTGGGTATATACCCAAAGGATTATAAATCGTTCTATTATAAAGACACATGCACATGTATGTTCACTGTGGCACTGTTTACAAAAGCAAAGACCTGGAACCAACCCAAATGCCCATCGATGACAGACTGGACAAAGAAAATGTGGCACACACCATGAAATACTACGCAGCCATAAAAACGAGTTCGTGTCCTTTGTAGAGACACGGATGAATCTATCATTCTCAGCAAACTGACATGAGAACAGAAAATCAAACACCGAATGTTCTCACTCAAAGGTGGGTGTTGAACAATGAGAACACATGGACACAGGGAGGGGAGCATCACACCATGGGGTCTGTTGGGGGAGGGGCTATGGGAGGGACAATGGGGAGTGGGGAGGGATAACATGGGGAGAAATGCCAGATATAGGTGATAGGGGGATGGAGGCAGCAAACTACCTTGCCATATATGTACCTATGCAATAATCCTGCATGAACTGCACATGTGCCTCAGAACCTGAAGTATAATTAAAAGAAACAAAAAAAAACATCTTTTAAAAATGAGTAGAGACCAGCACAATGGCTTACGCCTGTAATCCCAGCACTTCGGGAGGCCAAGGCAAGCAGATCACTTGAGGTCAGGAGTTCAAGACCAGCCTTACCAACATGAGTAAAACCCCATCTCTATTAAAATTCAAAAATTAGCTGGGAGTGGTGTCGGGCACCTGCAATCCCAGGTACTAGGGCAGCAGAGGCTGCAGTGAGCCAAGACCATGTCACAGCCTGGGCAACAAGAGCGAGACTCCGTCTCAAAACAAAAATGAGTAAATAAAAACCAGAATCATTTGGGAGCTACATTTCATAATGCAGGAAATTCAGAGCAGAAATTCAACAGTATTTTAAGCACCACTTCGCACCTCTCTTCCCATGTAAGTTAGCACCAGGGAAAGGGAAAGGAGTCACTCTGGGTCTGCCCCCAGGACTGAGGATGCTCCAGTGACCCCATCCCCATTGCCGCACCTGATGGTTCCTGTAGGGGAGGGCAGAGGGCTGATGAGGTGGGCCATGGTGTCTGGAATGTTGATGGTCAGGGGTGAGATGTGCGGCTGCACGGCCTTCACCAGAGACTCTGACGCCTCCTGCTTCTCCCTCTTCTCGCTGGACAGGGCAGTGAACGTTATCTTGATGTTTGTGCTCGGGAACCTGAATGTGCACCTGGAAAAGAAAAGCCCACAATCAGCACCTTTCGCTGTCCCCTCAAGAGCAGGAGCAGAGTCCCCAGGTGTCCCCCACAACACTGGAGCAGCTGAGGATGTGTACACAACACTTCCAAGCTCAGCTCGCCATGTTATTTCAAGTTGTTTACAAACAAAACCACAACTAAGGTGTTTCATGACTTTAAAACACCAGTAAGAACACTATTCAGACCAGCCAGACGGGAAGATCAAAAGCACAGACTAGGCCAGGTATCGTAACTCATGCCTGTAATCCCAGCACTTTGGAAGGCTGAGGCACGGAGCTCACTTGGGTCCAGGAGGTCAAGACCAGCCTGGGCAACACAGTGAGACTCCATCTCTACAAAAAAATTAGCGGGACATGGTGGCACATGCCGTGGTCCCAGATTCTCAAGAGGCTGAGGCAGCAGGATTGTTTGAGCCTGGGAGGTCAAGGCTGCAGTGAGCTGTGATAGTGCCACTGCACTTAAGTCTGGGCAAGAGACCCTGTCTCCTGCGACCAAAAAAAAAAAGGCATAGTCTCAAAAAGACTCAAATACTACTTAATCTACATGACTCCTTTTAAAACAAGTGCACGAGGCTGGGTGGCTCATACCTGTAATCCCAGCACTTTGAGAGGCTGAGGCAGGTGGATCACAGGCCAGAAGTTCTAGACCAGCCTAACCAACATGGTGAAACCCCATTTCTACTGTAAATACAAAAATTAGCCAGGCGTGGTGCCACTAGCCTGTAATCCCAGCTACTCGGGAAGCTGAAGCAGGAGAATTGCTTGAATCCGGTAGGCGGAGGTTGCTGTGAGCCGAGAGTACACTACTGCACTCCAGCCTGGGTGACAGAGCCAGCCTCCATCTCAAAATAAATAAACAATTAAAAATAAAATAAGTGCACAAATATGCTTTAGGTCTCACAGTAGACTTAAAATTCAAATACTACCTAGTGAGTATTTTGCTTTCAAAATAAACATACAAATGTATCTGGGCCACAAAGCAATAATTTTGTAGCAGTTTTCTTTTTTTTTTTTTTTTTTTGAGACGGATCGCTCGTTACCCAGGCTGGAGTGCAATGGCACGATCTCGGCTCACCGCAACCTCCGCCTCCTGGGTTCAGGCAATTCTCCTGCCTCAGCCTCCTGAGTAGCTGGGATTACAGGCACGCACCACCATGCCCAGCTAATTTTTTGTATTTTTAGTAGAGACAGGGTTTCACCATGTTGACCAGGATGGTCTTGATCTCTTGACCTCGTGATCCACCCGCCTCGGCCTCCCAAAGTGCTGGGATTACAGGCGTGAGCCATCGAGCCCGGCCGGCAGTTTTCTTATTTATGGAAGAAAAATAATTCCTTTTGCTTAAATAAAAAATCCTATCACCCTTTTCACTGCTGGCTCTGGCAAACAAAGAGCCACAGACATTAAGCTACAGGGGAGAAGGTCTGTATTCTAACACTCTGGTTCATGCTTCATGTAGCTTCCTTAACATGGCTCAAGTAACACATAATCAAACAAAGGTCACGCAAGCCAAATACCTCCAAAGAATAAAATTTAAAAATAGTCCATAATCTGAGAGTCTCTCACCATGAACCCAGTTAAACAACAGCCTATTTGTCAAACAAGCAGCCGGCCACACTCAGCCCAGCTCACAGCTGTGCACCTGGTGCGGGTACCCCTGCCACAGGGGAAGGTGCCGACCACCACCCTACACTACTGTGCAGCTACCCGAGAAGGGTCCAGCCTGTGGAGGGCAGAGGCTACACCATGGCCCTCCCACTGCAGGGACATCTCCAAGGAGACGCTGTCCAACACCCTTGCCGGGGTCAGGAAGGGTAACACCAAAGGTTTCAACACCCGCTTGTTTGCCTCGCTGCTGCTGCTGGCTCCCCTCGCCCTTCTCTTTCCCATGAGGCACATGCAGGACGACCAGTCCTCCCCGCCATCTCAGTGGACAGAGCAGAACCTCATAGAACAACTGCTTCCTGGGTGTCCAGGACACCACACTCTCTGGTTCCTGCTTCGCAGGGCTCCTTTTCAATCCCCTACTGGAGCCCCCTCTCTTTACCGCGCAGTGTCCAATGCTCCAGGCCTCGACTCCAGCTTCTCCCTTGATGCTCAGTGCTGGCTCATGCACGCCTCGGACCCTGAAACTCTACACATACCCAAATAACTCCAAAATTCCCACTTCACTGGGGGAACTCAAACAAGACTCCTGGCCTGAGCTCCTCTCCCAGGACTCTCCTCAGCAGTGAGAGGCAGCCCTCAGGTGCTCAGGCCAGAAATATAGGAGTCCCTCCACCAGGGCCATTAGTTCTGGCCTTCAAAACATATCCATTATGAAAACTAAAAAAGCTTCTCTGTCAAAGTCCCTCTTTAGACACTGAAAAAAATAAGCCACCTTCTTTTCTAGTTCACCTTCCACAAGAAGAAAATGTGTGAAGGCTGGGCAGAGTGGCTTACACCTGTAATCCCAGAACCTTGGGAGGCTCAGGAGGGAGACCGCTTGACTTCCCGAATTCGAGACCAGCCTGGGCAACAAAGTCCCTGTGACCTGAGCTGGGGTGCAGTGACGCGATCACTGACCCACCGCAGCCGCAAGCTCCCAAGCTCAGGTGACCCTCCTGCATCGGCTTCCTGAGTAGCTGCGACTAGAGGCACATGCCACCATTCCCGGCTCTGTTTCTCAGGCTGGTCTCAAACTCCTGGGCTCAGTGATCGACCCGCTTCAGCCTCCCAAAGTGCTGAAATTACATGTGAACCACCGTGCCTGACCTGGTCTGCAAATAATATATTTAGGACACTGATCTTTTTGTGTATAAAGGTCTATTTTATTTTACATCCTTACATATTATTAACTGAATCAACTAAGATCAAGAGAGAAACAGACCACTGATATGGAAACCAAAGGAAACATAGGGGAAAAAAAAAAAAAGAATTGGTAAAACAAGACACCAAAATGCTTCAAGCTGCATCACAAAGCCAGGCATGGAATCGCTTGAGCCCAGGAGCTCAGAGTCAGCCTGTGCAACACAGTGAGACCTCTTCCTCTAAAAAACAAGACGGGCAGCCAGGTGCAGTGGCTCACACCTGTAATCACAGCACTTTGGGAGGCTGAGATGGGTGGATCACAAGGTCAGGAGATCGAGACCATTCTGGCTAACATGGTGAAACCCCATCTCTACAAAACATACAAAAATTAGCCTGGTGTGGTGGCCCATGCCTGAAGTCCAAGGTACTTAGGAGGCTGAGGCAGGAGAATAGCTTGAACCAGGAGGTGAGGTTGCAGTGAGCCAAGATCGCACCACTGTACTCCAGCCTGTGTGACAGACTCTGTCTCCCCTGCCCCCAAAAAAAAGAAGAAAAGAAAAGAAAAAACAAACAAAAACAAGAAGGGCCAGGCACGGTGGCTCACGCCTGTGATCCCAGCACTTTGGGAGGCTGAGGCATGCGGATCACGAGGTCAAGAAATGACAATCCTGGCTAACAGGGTGAAACCCCATCTCTACTACAAATACAAGGAAATTACCCGGGCTTGGTGGCACCCACCTATAGCCCCAGCTACTTGAGAGGCTGAGGCAGGATAATCACTTGAACTCAGGAGGCAGAGGTTGCAGTGAGCCGAGTTCGCGCCACAGTACTCCAGCCTGGGTGACAGACTGACATTCGTCTCAAAAGAAAAAAGAAGAAGAAAACCATGGGATCCACAATATGCAGCAACAGTTCAGGACATGAGTGTATCCACACCAAAACATGGCCAAGACCAAAAGAGCTGTTTAAAATCCACCTAGGCCGGGCACGGTGGCTCATGTCTGTCATACCGGCACTTTGGGAGGCTGAGGCAGGAAGATCACCTGAGGTCAGGAGTTCAAGACCAGCCTAGCCAACGTGCGAAACTCCATTTCTACTAAAAATACAAAAATCAGCCGGGTGTACTGGCACACACCTGTAATCCCAGCTACTCGGTAGGCTGAGTCAGGAGAATCTCTTGGACTCAAGAGCAGAGGCTGCAGTGAGTCGAGTCCCCAACATTGCACTCCAGCCCAGGCGAAAGAGTGGGACTCCCTTTCAAAATAAATAAATAAATAAAGTATATCTAGACCAAAGATCTGAAACACATCATGTTTAGTGGCATTCACTGCTGGTGTTAAACTTTCCAAGTTCAAACATCTGTCAATCACTACATTTTAAAAGAAAACTGGCACCTTATCTCTCAAGTCACCCGCTTGGCCTGGCCCTCTTCCAAGTGTACTTGACTGCTTTTCTTCCTGCTCGAAAGCTTTTTAATAAACATTCACTGCTGCTCTAAATAAACAAACAAATACATACTACAACTGATCACCTGTCATGTATCTGAGAGCCCACTGAACTTGGCTCCCTCTACACAGACACAACTTCTAGATGGTGTGTGTGCACAGCTGTCACCTCTGAGGGCAAGAGACTGGCCTGGCACAAGGTTCCAGCAGGATCTGCAAGCCACCCTAGACTCCCACCCAAGACACCTCTTGAGTCCTCCTTGCTGCTCATGAGCAGCCTGTCCCACGAGGAGGCATGTTCCCAGGACCACCCACCCTCTCACACCAGCCTAACAGCTTACAACCCAGGGGTTCTCACATGCAGAACCATGTAGACACAAACAGGGCAAGGTGCTTAGACGCCAAGCACCTCTGTATCCCCGCTGGGCTCCTCACACAACGCCGGCTCTGAGCTGAGAGCAGCTGTGGGACCCACACGGTCGCCAGCCAGTAGTAGAGATGAGAAGAACAGTGAGTACAAACTGCACAACCTGACTGAAGCTCAGTGGACAAATGCTCTCAACATCCACGTGCAGACACTTAGGACATCAAATCAAACACTGTACTACTCAGCCAGACACAGGAGCTCACGCCTGTCATCCCAGCACTTTGGGAGGCTGAGGCAGGAAGATCACTTGAGGTCAGGAGTTCAAGACCAGCCTGGCCAACATGGTGAAACTCTGTCTCTACTAAAAACACAA